TAATAAAATTATCTTTGGATTTTATATTAAAGTGCATTTCGGAAAGTCAGGAGTAATATTTGACTTTTCCTAGCTAGTTTGTATGTATTGATGCACATTTTAAGAGGTATGAGAAAAACAGAACATAAGTTAACATTCTTTGAAAACGTATTATAGCATACAGAGCAAGTATGAAAATGGCAAAATTATGAATGGTTTGGGTAATGGTAAGTTCTGAATAGTTTCTGTAAAATCAGACTCATAGCACCTAGATCAAGAAGTAGATAAAATGCCCCTAAAACACATCTACCAAAACTTCCCCTCAGTGCTGAGTGATAAAAGGCAGATACTTTGGTACAACAGATCCACTGTTTTATTTACTCATGGAAAATATTCTCCATCATTGAAAACTTTCCAACCTTTCTTGTTCACAAACTTTATTTTCACTAAATGCCTGAATTTGTAATGTACTTATGGAGGGCACCAAATCTTTTAATACATTCCTTAAATTTTCTTCTCTTTAGATGACAGCATCCCCAGGCAAATCATTATTAAAATAATACTTTGAACAGCAATGATTCTCAGATTTTGATCTACACATTAATAATGATGAGTAGGTTATGGGTATATCTATCATCATTTGCAAACATGTATTGAATACCTACTGTGATCTATTAGTTGAGGTTCACAGATTTTCTGAAATAGGCAATTCAAGTTAATGAGGGTAAGAGATTCTTGTGCACACTAGGACTATTTATATCCATCTATGGAACAATAATGAAAACATGCTAGTTCTGTACTTACTACATGCCAGTTACTATTTAAGTGCTTTACATATATTAATCTATTTAATCTTCACCACAACCTGTGAAATAGGTGCTGTTATGGCTGTTGCAGAGATAAAGAAGGTGAGTGACAGAGGTTTTAATTAACTTGCAAGAGTCACACAGCTGGAACATGGCAGAGCTGAGGTTTGATTCAGGCAATTGACTCCAGAATCTGCACTCGAACCCACTACACATCCTGTATACCCTGGGGCCAAAGCAAGAACCGAGTTTCCAATTTACACAATTCACATTCCTGCTATTTATAAAAGATTCTATAATTTAGCTGTATTTTAAATATAAATGCAAACAACTCAATCACCTGCATTATGCCCTGAGTGTCAGAGAAATATCTAACATTTTTTTCTGAAAAAGTACTAGAATATTTTAAAGCTATATGACTTCACTGTGTACATTGATTTCTACATGCCCAGATGACCCTGTGACCCACTGAGAAAGGAAGTAGGTTTAAATGTGCAGACTTGGGTCCCACTGCAAGGGATCAAATCCATGTTCTACCACTCATTAGATAGATGACTTGGAGCAAGTACCTTGGCCTCCCTTAGCCTTGGTTTTCCCATATTTAAAATGGGATGAAATCAGTATGCATCTCATAGGACTAAGTTAACCTACCGATGCAGAAGTGTTTAGTTTAATGCCTGCCATGTTCTAAGTACTCAGTCAGTGTTAGCTGCGGTTGTCACTGTCACTGTTCCCATAAAGTGCTCCACCTGAGCTGCCATGGTAAGGACATGGGAGTTGCTACAGGGCAGAGTAAGAGGTTTATTTTTAATTAATGCAGCATCCCTCTATCATAATGATTCTTCTTTAACCATCCTTGAACTTTAAGGGACATCAGTTTATTTTTGTCTCCTTTTAATAACTGTCTGCCTCCATAATTGCATCACACTCTGATTTAAGGAGTGATTTCATTTTGAAGGAATCTAGCACAGAATATGACTCTAATGAGAACTTCCAGTAAGAAAATCCTATCTTAATGACTGTGATGTGGAGAAACCTGTAGTTAGCAATCCATAGACGATTCAACACTCTAATTCAGGATGTGAAAATAGAACTAAGGTGGCATTCAAAATTAAGGATTTGAAAGTGTGTGTCCGTACAGTGATGTTTCATAGTTACACAGCAACCATACAAATGTACTTCGATGGTTTGGTAATGACATAAATGCTTCTGTTTGTATTTCTTTTATTTCTTTTAATGGTGGGCGGGGAAAATCGTATAGAGATTATCATCTGATTTCCTGAATTGAGTTTTCATTATTTTGAAGAATATACTCTTCCTGGATAAATATTATTGAGGTTCAGGATACTGCATGACTTGCTGAGGTTTGTGTATAGAGTTTCAAAGACCTTTCAGAGTTTTTGAAATTTTGTTTGTAATGTAGAGTGTGTCATTAGTCTTGGTGAATGTTAGTTCCCTATTGGTACAGCATACACCATCATTCCTGCACATGTTGAAGAAATATATACATGGTATTTCCTTTAGGATGATATTTAGTTATAGGAATCATTATTTACTATCCTCTGTTATTCAGTCAGTTACCTGGGATAATTACTTTATTTTATAAATGCACCTGGAAGTTGTCTGCTTCCTAATATTCCTTCTGGCCTAGTTTAGTTGAAGATTCACACACTCTATGTAGGATCTGGATGGATGTCATAAAGCATAGTAGCAGAAGGGTGGGATCCTGAAACTGAAGACCAGATGCCCTCAATGGGGTACATGTATTAACTAGCTAAAGAGGATGTTTGAACCTTGCCCGGTATGGGAGCTAAAAACATATACATATATGAAAAACGGATGTAGCTCATGGACTGCCTATATGCAACCTGGATTTTACACTCTCACCCCTTCTCCTCTGGATTGTGGCAGTGGCTCCTGACTTTAGCTATATTTGTGGCCCATTTAGCCTCTATCCTGGCACCAAGACACTATCGATCATTGTCTCACTGTCCTTTTTAAATCAACTTCTGCATCACCACATTGAATGCTGCATGGAATGCAAGGCCAAGTTCTCTACCGTAGGATGGATGGGATGCTTCTTGGATGTAGCCTCTTCTTAGTTTTTCAGTTTCTCCATTCACCGCTCCCTTTCCCTTATTCCTAATTTTTCAGAAATACAGAATTATGTCATTGATGCCCTGCACTTGCCCTTTCTATCTGCAGTGCTGCTCTCATCTTGTCCAACGGGTGGCTACTATTCAAACCTGACTTGGGGCCGGTATCTCTCTGAAGCCTCCCTCTCATGCAGGTTTGCTGGGCTGTGCTACAAACGGTCCTTACGATGCAGCTCCGCTTAAATGCCTGCATGCATCACACCCATCCACTCGAGTTTGTATTCCACATCTGCCCACTTTATGAATTTAACTCTGTCCTCCTTTAATGCATAGACTTTGACCCTTTTTTGTCTCTCTGGTGTCTAGCACAGTGCTAGGCACATAAGCACTTGTGTTCTATGGTTGTGTGTGGGTCTGAATATTAACCTGTTGCCAATACGCTTCCCATATTCTGATATGAAGGTGGTAAAAAAGAATAATGAATGTTATTGTGGACATTTCTTAGAATGACAAAATTTATGATAATTTATCTCTGAGGCAATATATATTTTTTTGATCCTTCAAGTCACCTAAGGGCTGCCTGTTTTCAGATTCACTTCATTCTAGGAATTTCCAGTTTGGAATAATCAAATAGAAAGCAAGTTTAGGAAAGAGGGCAAAACCCCCATAAATCCCAGTCGTGGGCTGATTTCAGAGAACACTAATACATGCGGTGTCACCCGGCTACTGACTGATTGGACCATAGCCGCCGCTATCTCCACTGGTGGTGTTTCATGAACATTTATATAGAGTTTGGCTCATGATGCTGTCTGAAGCAATCTTCTCTTTACACTACACTGGGTACACGGTTCATAATTTTTTGACCTGTGTGATTTATGTGTCTGTTTTCCACAGCTTTTGTTTTGATATCAGAAACGTTAATCCTTCAAAGTCCTTCAGTTGTAATGTTAACTGCCAAAAGCATTGATTTGCAATTGGCATGAGAGTATGCGTTAACCATTTATAATAATTCTGATTTGCTTTTGAATGACAGCTTTTTCTTTTTGCCACTGAAATCCTCCAATAAAGGATCCCCCCTAACTCTTTAATAAAACTATGTTTATTAAAAATATATATATATTCACTATAGGCCTCTGAGTTCATTTCCTTGGTTGTATATCAAACTTTTCCATGAAGCTAGTGTATAATGATTCTTAGTTTCCCTACTACTGAGGTAACAATAATTATTGCTTCTATGAAACTTTAACAATCTGTGTAGATACTAATATATATGTTATGTCTACATAGATGACATATACATATAACATATATGCATATTTCTATATGTATGTATCTATACTTATAGATACATATGTGTACGTGTATATTCCAGGGTGAGCCAGCTATATCTCTTGTTAGCAATCAGCAATATATTTTACTTTTAATTACCCTGTGTGTTTCATGAAGTCAACATATTAAAGGCTAATTTGAGGTTCATTAAAACTATGTAATTTCACTTGTGTGTTCTTATAATTACTACTAATGTCATCAAAGCCTTTTTAAAATTACAGACGTTTAATGACTCTAGGGTATACTTCATTTTTTGCATAATTAATAAGAATAATCTAATTCTTCAGCCTTGATAGAATCTATGATTGTGATTTTGGCACCATTAAATCTTTATACGAAATACCTTTTAAAATTATGTGTAGGTGTATTTGTTTGGAGCAGGTATATATGGGGGAGATGACATGACACAGGAGTTATTAAGAAGAAAACAATTAGGGATATGTGGATCGGTCCAAATGTATGCTAGCTTATCTACTAAGACACCTGCACACCTCAGTGATGAAAGTGTCTGCAAAAGAATATCAAGTCTCTCGGGGGGAAATGATCTAACACTTAGCTTGTGTGCAGGTAATTTATTCTTCTTTATAGGAATTCTGGGAGAAATGGCCAAAAGCTGTTTGTCATTTGCTTTTCTATCCCAGGTTTTTCCCCTCATTTTGAAAATATTCCAGGATTCTGCTTCACTTCGAGAAATTAAGCATTTTAAACTGAATGCTAAGAAACTCCTTTTAAATCAACAGAAAAGATGAGGCATTAACTGACTATCATTGGGGAACTTGGTGTTTTTCAGGGAATGATGTATCTGGAAGAAAAGCGGCTTGTTCATCGCGACTTGGCAGCCCGAAATGTCTTAGTGAAATCTCCAAACCACGTGAAAATCACGGACTTTGGCCTAGCCAGACTCTTGGAAGGAGACGAAAAAGAGTATAATGCAGATGGAGGAAAGGTGAGTATCTTTTTGAGAGTAATATTGCTTGTAGACTTAGCATGGTATCCTTTTATCTCCTTATATTTTATAGGAAGAACCCAGTAAGCCTGAGGTTTAAGAGATTATGAAATCTCCATTCTACCATAGGCATTCTCTCCTGCCCAGGATAAAAAATATACAGAGGGAATATATAACCAACTGCTATTGCTCAAAGGTAGCTAAAATAAAACAATGCATTTCTGGACCCATGCGGTCCTTTTGTCAGTCCAGTGTTGAAAAGTGGGTGGATCGCTAAGGGTTCCAGAAATTTAACTTTAATTCAGGGCTGTAGAAATTGTTCTGTTGACCCTAAAAGCATGGGACCGACTCGTATAGAGGATACAATTTCTTGTAGACTAGAGAGAAGCTCGGCTACTACCTAGAACTGTAGGCAGATCGACCATCCTATTAACTCCTAATCCTCGAAACAGATACAACAGATTCCTCTTATCTGACTTTTGTTTTTAGTTTTTATCATAGTGCATGAGTTACCAATTTATTTTATTTATTACCGGACTCTTTCCACTAGGATTTAACTTGCTGTATCCCAGGGGCCTGGACAGCCACAGCTTCTCCTGACCTCTGGGACCCTGCAGCCCCGGGCCCTGCCTGACAGCTGCGCCCCTGCCTCTCTGACCCGCCAGTGGTCGTGCCGTGGCTCTTCTTTTTTCCCACTCCCTCACTCTAACTTGCCATCCTTGGCTAACCAACCCATGTAGCCTTCACGTGCAGGTCCCTCAAGCTTGACCTTGGGAAGCTTAGATCAGGACGGGGCAAATGAAATGAACAGATGCAGCCTTAACCTTGGGTGACCCAAAGCTAATGCTAACCAAAAAATTGTTATTCACAAGTCATATAAATAAGATGTTTATTATGTGCCTAATTCATCATGGGCCATCCAAATATCTGTTATAAATATTTTGTAGTGATAGGATTCCTAATGCTTAACATCGATTTTTATATTAAATTCATACATAACCATATATATTCAAATATTATCACAAGGAACAAAGACACAGAATTTATTTTTTTAAAAAACAACTGCAGTTTTGTAGTATTATCTGGCTTTTTCCTTGATTTTATTGGCCTCTTTTGCCTCTTTACTACCCCATTGCCGCAGCTTGAGACTGCAGCTTTGAAATTCACTGCAAGATTGCACAGGAGGAGAAGTCTATAAATCACATGACTTCACTTGTCTTGAGAACATACAGCTGTAAGATTTGTCTAAAGCAAGATTCATTATAGCTTTAAATGCCTGGTAACCATTAAGTCTTTATCAAGCCACCTGTGATTTCAACTTACTTCTTTAACACAATGTCCGTAGTCCATGAAGTCAGTATCTCCTTGCCCACAGGGAAATTATTTTCAGTGTGTCTTCTGTTCCCTTTCACTAAGTAACCATGATTCTGTCGCAGAGTTACCTTGGTATCACCTTGGTGAGCAGCCAACCTCATGATTTCAAAGGCCTATTTAGTTTAAGCTTTTAACTGCCAAGTGGAAGTGTTTGTCTTTATTCCATAGAGTCTAGTTCTATTTTCTGCTACCTAGTGCTGCTCTCCATAGTTGAAAACTCATTCTGCTGACCCATCATCAGGAGGGCATGTGAGTTCAGTTGTTTTTCTTGTAGTGATGGGGGATTTGTACTGACTCTCTCACATTCTTTTATATAATTTCTGTACTGAAAATGGCACGTGTTTCCAATACTGGCTAACCGAGATGAGGGAGATCATTTGGGGCTGAGGCAAAAGCAAGGCTAACTTTGGAAGTTATCATGTTAGGTGTTTTAGTGACCAAATTATATGAAAGGAAAAGGCAGGGGGCAAGTGTGGAAAGAGTCTGTTTTACTGGTGGCCTGACACTGGCCTGAGGATAACTGGGAATTCAAGGAATCTCATTTTGGGGGGAGGAAATATATGACCCCATTTTTAGAAGCACATGTGTTGATGTTTTTATAATTGTAAAACAGTATTAACTAATGATTTAATTACTACATCAATTAAGAATTATAAAAAGTGATACTTATTTTGTTATTTTAGTTTTCATTGTTTATGAAGATTTTTAAAAATAAATATATCTTTGGGTTGGTTCATTTTAAGAATTTTATAAATTTCAATTTATTTGTTTCCTGTATTGAAAACCAACATATTTATATTTTCAGTACACACAATCGAAAGATGTAATTGAGGTAAGGCTCACATTTAGGAAATCAATATAGAAAATAGTTTTTATATAACTATAAAACTTTCACATTTTATTTCTCTATAGATGCCAATTAAGTGGATGGCTCTGGAGTGTATACACTATAGGAAATTCACCCATCAGAGCGACGTGTGGAGCTATGGTAAATAAATCTTCCCTGTAAATTAAAGCATTCAAGACATAAATAAGTAAATTAGGTCCATGTAAAATATCTTAAGTCAAATTATTGTGTTGTATTGTAAATCCTGTTTATAAGCCTTGCTTTCTCAAGGAATTCACTCTTTCCTTTTCCATTAAGAAAAAACAAAACTCTAATGGTATTGTTACATGCCTTTTTTGTTATTTCTTGGTTCTCTAAAAGGTAATATATTAATATCTTGGTTGAGTTGTCTACCATAACCTTTGGGTTGGTAGCAATCGCCTGATCATTTTGACAGAAAAAAGAAACAGTAAATTTTAGTTTAGGTACAATGTCATAGAATCTCACGGCCTTAACTTTCAACAACTCTTTGAAAGCATAACTTTAAATACAATGAATATTTAAAAATGAAGAACTTTTTTTCTTATGGGAATTTCTGTTCTATAGTAAAAAAATAATAGAAGTTATTGTTATAACAAAGAGCAATTACTGAAAGCAATTAGGTGAAGTAGTAAATGTGAGGAGAGAGATGAGAGAGAAGATTGCTAATTGCAGCTTTGATTTTAATTTACCAATACTTTTGGAGTAAACAGGTATGTTACAGAGCAAATAATATGAACTGGAAAAGAATGATTTTTAAATTTAGAAAATTTATTTAATTGCATTTAACTGAACTGTTGAGATGAGCTACTTAGCATCTGTCTGACTTTTTACAACTTAAGTCCAACTAGGTATTAGTAAGAATGAATCAAAGCCTTTTCTAAGTATAAATATACCATATAAAACTAGTATGCCTTACAAATTAAAAGAACATTGCCTATTTAAATAAAAAGGTGGTAGTGGAACTTAAAACATGGTAGAATTTACTTAACTCACTTTTAAACTTAGTTTTTATATTTTCTTTTAACTTTCAGAGAAAATAATTAAGCCATTCAATCACTAAAGCACTTACACCTCTTTTGTAGTAAAGCATAAATTATCTTTCAAAGAATTAGACATTTCTATAAAGTGGTTGTCTCCCCGCACACATGTATGCCATAGGAGGTGTTAAAATTTCCACAAAGGCCTCATGTATTCTGCTCAGCTTAAAAGTAGGAAGTGTTGTGTGTTTGAGATTTAGGCAAGTACAGGGGAATTATTGACAGACTTATTTGTTAAACTGCAAGGATTAAATAAAAAAATTAATTTATCATATAACATATATGATAAATTTATATACTATGTGATATGCATTAATATGTAGATAAGCATTTATATATTAGATGATAAAAATAAATTTATATATTATATTTTATATGCTAGATTTATATATTATCATTTTTTAATTTTTCTCTACTTGTGTTTCCTTGAATTAATGTGGCAATCTGCTGCAGACAAAATTTGAATGACTTCTAAAAAAGAGATTATGTACTCTCTTGAGGGTGGTTATGGCTTTTTTCAAAGGTATGTCAACCTAGATGCATAGAAACAATAGGCAGGGCTTGCTTAAGACAAAGATAAGCCTTTTACTAAAGAAGTTATATTCCTGGGACATGACTACCAACTATGACCTCCCACTTAGGAATTTATGATCAGATCACCCTGTGAGGTTACTTTCCATAGAACACTTTTTTTTTGTTTATATAGGCATTATGCGCTTTAAAAAGACCTCATTTTGAGTAAATAATTTATTACAGATGGCCGTGAAAAAGAAACCACAGCCGTAATTAATACATTTATATTAAAAGATACCTGGATATATGCATCAGTGAAACTTCACTTGGTGATACTATTGTGCCCAGATAGCTATTTCTGAATTATAGTCTTTACCCTTAAAAAAGCTGTACCTTTTTAATTATATAATTTTAGATCAGAATAAAGAAGAAATCTGGAATGTATATACTTTTGCTTAATTCAAGATCATTATTATTATCAATGCTGGCTATTTGCATGCTAATATTTCAGGTGTTCTCTTTTACCAAGAAAATCAATGTTCCAGTGATGCAAGAAAGTGATTTCATTATCTAAAGAAAAAAACTATCATTAATTCCTTTCAATTTTGTGATCCCCACTTCACATGTTTATATCTTACATAGGGATCATTCCTCACTCAGGTTCTCACGTGTGCTAAAGAATCAATCTGTTTTTATTCCACTTGTTCTCTTTGCATTAGTTACAAAGAGAGCCACAGTTATTCAGCATAACGAACGATCATCGTTTAGGAACCTCAGTTTAGCCTTTAGGGCTTTTAATAAATAGCCAAGATGTTAATCTTGAATTTAGTCAATACCGGATTTTACCTGCAATCACATTTACTCGGTACTGAGTACACATGTATATAGTAAATAAATTGTTGTATAGGCTCTAATGTGGTGTAGTGAAACTTAACTTGGGTCAGCAAACGCTAGCATCACTTGCAAGTAATAAATGGGGAACAGACTTTTTATTCTGATATATACTCTGAATAGTCTCTGCTGCCCATTAAAACTTTCAAGACAATAATAAGAGAATTGAATTTCCCAGGAAGCTTTTGCCGTTGGGTGTCTAAAAATGGGCACAGGAATCAGAAGAGCCTTCCTTGAACCTATCTTTGATTGCCCTCTAGGGAGCATTCCTTTGCCTCTGGTGTATCGCTCGGTTGTTCACAGTGTGTTGTTAATATGCTGACGTAAGAATTTGATATCCAATTTAGGAGTCACCATATGGGAACTGATGACATTCGGAGGAAAACCCTACGACGGAATCCCAACCCGAGAAATCCCTGATTTACTAGAGAAAGGAGAGCGTCTGCCGCAGCCTCCTATCTGCACCATTGACGTCTACATGGTCATGGTCAAATGTAAGATAGCAAAATAATTTTACCATCGCCACCATCGTTCTTAGTAAAATAGTGGCTCAGATTCATCTGCCTGCGTAATGTCTCTGTACATCGGTAAATACAGAAGTTCAAACATAATTCGGGAAGGAGCATGCAAACGCCTGTAGTTTTGTGATCGTTGCTCAAGCGAAGCAATATCATGCTTCTGTGCTATGAAGTCACGTTGTATGACTGACTCTCAGTGTTCATTCCACTTTGAGTCCTGTCGTGTCCCTGACAACCAAACTGTCTTTCACAAAGAGATGTAATTAGTCACAATATTAGTAATTTTTATTGGAAAGTAGCAGACTAACTAAATGATCTAAATATAAAGAAAGAAAGCTTGCCACTGACAGCAAAAAAGAAGAATGAAAGGGAAATAGGTTCTTGGTGAACAGGAAATTAGCGGGGCAGAGGGGGAAGTGGGAAGAAGGGAATTTGCATGCAACCCAAAGGTTACGAATGTTTACTTTCGTCAATGTGATCATTTGTTTACATCTAACTCTCTCCTTTCTGCTTTCTATGCCCAGACACGTGTTTTGGAAGCCGAGGCCCTTAATTTAAATAGAATTAGGAAAGTCTCTGGAGTTTCTGACTTAATTTAAGTGAGATTAGCATTCGGCGATCTTTCTTGTGTAATCTGGGGTTCTCCCCTTTTGATTTGCGCAGGATTAGCAGAGACACAAACTGGTGAAGGTGAATGAGCATCTTATTAATAAGAGACTTTGGACCCAGGTCTACCTGATTTATATTCATGACATGTGTGATACATTCTGACAGTGAGGGAAGAAATAAAAAATGTGCTTTCCAGCTCAGGTCAGCTTGCCCTTTTCTCTAAGCACAGTTCTATTTACTCAATATTTAGTTGGAAAGAAACTGATACCTCGCTGTGAAGTTAACCTTTTTTGGTTCCAATCGTTGCAGAAACACCTATCTTCTTATTAGCATCTTGACATCAAAAGCATTTTAAAAAATTGTTTTCAGTGGATGCATGTAGAATAAATATAGAGTGTTTCAACTTTGTTATGAGAGAAAAAATTCAGGTGTAATTAATAATACAGGGTGCCCTCCAAAAATGTATACACACTTTAACAGCTGATAGCTCAATTGTGAAAATGAAATGTATTTTAATAAACACTGCCTCTATAATTATTCAAAGTGTATGTAGACATTTTGGGGGGACACCCTATATATAAAAATGACACCCAAAGGCTTCCCAGAGCAAGAATAAAAATTGAACTCCTGGAGAAAGGAGAAAGGAGCTTTATAGCTTTATTGGATCAGGCATTGATCAGAGTCATCTATGGAAGAATATTTAAAAACATGCACACATTATATAATTTGATCCCATGGCTAGGGATGATTTAGATACTTCATTTAGATACCCTGATGAAATAATGAAAAATTAGGAAAACATTTTGCCTAATAGGGAGTTTTACCTCACTTTTAGGAATTTTAATACTTAAGAAAAGGGTCTTTTGACAAGAAGATCAAGGGAAGCTTGGCGCTTTTATTCTTGTCATCTCATCAGCTACACAGAGCCTGGGGAGATAAGACCCACTTTATCTAGACTCCCAGCTAAATAATAATGCACACTTTGAAAAATGCTGAGAGTATTTTTATTCTGAAAAGGCTAGTGCTAAAATAAGCTAATGGCTAGTGCTCAATAAACATTAACAATCATTTTGCATTATTTTTCTTGGTGTTTTTGTTTTGTTTTGTTTTTTCCTATCAGGAAAAATTACCATTAAAAAGTAGCTTTCTATTCCATTTTTCCCTTTGGTGCCAGTATACCACATTGTAACCAAAGTTTTATCCCATGTCACTCTTGATACAAAATAATAAATTACATTCCAATCACCTCTTCTATTACCATCAAAGAAAAGTTTTAAAAGAGAGTTCTCTCCATACCTAAGAAAAAAGATCTGAAAATATATAAGTTAAGCTAGGTTGCATTTTCTAGGAAGAAAACAATTTATATAGATCAAGAAAATAAAAAGTTCTGTTTTCCTACAGTATATCACATTTAGTCATGAATGTCACCAAACTGATTGGGGTAGAGCCTTTGCCTATTGGATTGTTTCTTTCATTCCCTTTCTTTGGTTTTCAGATCATTATTATTAAAACAATATTTTTAGCCTATGTTTTCATAAATTTCACATCCCACTTCTTCCTAATTATGAATATAGTGACTTTTATTGCGTGTGAATTTCTAGGTTGGATGATTGATGCTGACAGTAGACCCAAATTTAAGGAACTGGCTGCTGAATTTTCAAGGATGGCTCGGGACCCTCAAAGATACTTAGTTATTCAGGTTAGTACATATGACTTAGATTTTTAAAGAATTTCCCAATGGCAAACTCCCTACAAAATATGAATATCTGGACTTTGGAACTGTGGAAATCACCACTCAGAAATACATTAACTAAGCAGAATATCATGTGAAATGATTTATGGAAAAGAGCCTTTTACTTGCACTTCTAAGCACCTTCCCTTGGTACTCAAGTGCTTCTGATATTGAACAGCCAGATAATTATGATTACCCATATACATAAAAAGCTTTTATCCTTAGACTAGCCTTCTAGCACTCTGCTTTTCATTAACATTATGTGAAGTCATTTCATTATTATAATCTTCCCTTTTCAGAACACAAAAAGATAAATTTTTATTTTAATCTTGTCCATGATTGAGGACAATAAATTAAAGCTTCAATATATTGATGTTCCATTTCATAGAAAGCTATTTTTAAATATGTTTTGTTTTGGGAGATATGCAGTACCTAAGCATAACTCAGATTCACATAGAATGAGATACATATAAATTAAATAACAGGCCAAAAGATGATTTTATGTTTAACCCTAGAAAAAAATGGGTTAGATAATTTTAAAATCATAACATATTTTTCTACGATGATTTTTACCTAAACCATAAGCAAATCGACCTTGACTTACGCTCAATAAAACAAGGTAGTGTTTCTCTTCACATCTATAGTCTGACATGAAGATAAAAGCTGGGTATTACAAGGTAATGATTTCCAACTATCTTTATCTCAAATTAACTTTTATAAACAAACTGGTCACCAAAAAAATCACATAAGTTTGAAAATATGTATGTAATGAGGTAAGAAAGAGTTAAAACAAGAGTTTGGGTGTCTCTCCCTCTCCTCTGTATTTCTGTGCCACTGGAACTGTGACTTTGAATGCTCGCACTTCAACAGTGTGGTGCTGTAGGACCAGTCATAGAGCCCATCCATTCTGATCACTCCCCACTATCAAACAAACGCCCCAAAAATGAAGATTGGTGAATCAGTTGCCCTTTATTATTTATTCTTAAAGTCAAACCCAGAACACCATGTTGGCAGTGAAGCCTGCCGTGACTCTCAGATCTGAAATGGATTTTGCCTCCCTCAGACACAGCACTTTGCTTTGTTTGTCTCTAATGACATTTGTCATGTTCTTCTTGTCTTAAATGTATCTTACCTTGTCACATCTGAGCATATTATCGGCTTCTTTATGGCCAACACTGGTTTTGATGTTACATAAATTTATGGTAAAGGCCACATATTTAAGATAAAGGGAAGACTCTATTATTGTGTTTCTGATGGGCAATCCTTCAGGGCGACGATCGAATGAAGCTCCCCAGTCCAAACGACAGCAAGTTCTTTCAGAATCTCTTGGATGAAGAAGATTTAGAAGATATGATGGATGCTGAGGAATACCTGGTCCCTCAGGCTTTCAACATCCCACCGCCCATCTACACTTCCAGAGCAAGAATTGACTCCAACAGGGTAAGAAGTAATGAAACACTAAGTACCATATTATTACTGAGAAATGAAATTATGTAAATATATTTAAGGGCTGCTTATTGTTAAAGGAATTGTGCTTAAGTATCACTTTTATTTTCAGGCATTTTAAAGCTTTACTAGTCATCTGTTGTTCTATTTTTTTCAACCTGGCTTTATGTAACTTTTATGGTAATTTCTAACATGTTCAAATGCTTCCACCCTCTTCTTTTCTACGAAGCTAAATTATGTTATAGTTAGAAAACAAGTTACTTCAGTTTTAGGTTCTATGGACAATTTAGGTGGTAAAGGAATATCTTAAAGTGAATTTTAATCAAATGTTTCTTAAGAATATTTGTTGGACTTTGAAATAAAAAAATAATTCCGTTTTTAAATGTAGACCGCTCACTAGCCAAGAAGCTCTGGGTAATGTTCTGAATGGCTTCATGACTTTGTTTCCTCCTTTGCAAAATAAACACGATAATTTTTGTCCAAGATGGCTATTAGGCAAGTGCCTTTTAAAAATTGTAGAGTATCTGAAGTGCCAGGCAAATAAACACCTATTACCCACTGTTTAGAATCACCCAAAGATATTTGGTTGAAGACCAACCAACTAAATGAGAAAAACAAAGTCTATTTATTCAGAGCTGGCTGTGGCGAGGGCTCAGCCACCATCACTTGTGTTTCGGCAGAGACTCAAAGGCAGGCAGAGGACTGGGAAATCTTTACAGGGAGGAAAGGGGAGGCTTTGGGTGTGTTCTGAGTGGAGGCTGTTGGCCTGGAGAAGCTGTAAGCGGCCGACTAGAGGCGGGGCATCCTGTGTGAATGGTTAGGGGTGCTCATTCAGCTTTCTCTGATCGGTCCTTTGTTGAAGTGGGGACAGAGATTAAGGAAGCTGTTAGTTATTAAACAAGTCTTGGCCATTTTGGGCCAACTGTTACAGAAGTTATGATTTGCTTTCTGGGTTTCTAGTAGAGATAGTAATCTGGCTCTTGCAAGTCTGACGCAGCTGACTGGCTTCAGGGCTGTGGATGGTTTCCGGGGAAGGTTGCTGTCAGTTGCAGGTTAGACTTCTATTTTTATAGATGATCCAGCCATTGTCCCTTTGTATAGTCAGTCTATCAATAGGGCTTAGGTTCTATTGCTGCCTTTCTTCTCTCTTGGTATATTTACTTAAATGTATGTTGCCCAACATTTCAATTAAATGTTCAATACAGTTTTGAAATTTCTGCATAAGTTTATTTTCTGTTAATGTGCATAAGTTTTTTTTTTTCTTTTGAGTTACTTAGATTTGTGTTTGCTTGGTATAATGAATTGTACATTAAATGCAACCGCAATAAATATAATACATTAATGTGGGTAAAGCTATTTTAGCTATAATGATAGTAGAAGGTCTAATGTAAAAGCTTCAATGAATTTTTATAGAGGGTGATATGATTTCAGTTGTTACAGGATCATTCAGTCATTTGTGATGAGTAGTTTTAAAGATTAAGTGCCCCACCTCTTTCAAGATGTATCAGCTAATTCCCAATCATCCAGGCCAGCAGAAGACAGGAATTGTAGCTGCTGCAAATTGGCAGAGCAGGAGACCCGTACTCGATATATCATTACAATTTAAATATTCTCTGCTTCTTTCTGATGTGCTCAGGAATAAATATATCAACAGATTTGTATTTTCTCCCTCTTTTTGCCCTCTCTCTCCTAGGATGGGTATATAAATGAGAATGTGTGGCAGAATGTAGTCAGAAGAAGTAAAGGGTGAAGAAAATAAGAGTTTGGTACCTCAAATTTTGATCCATTTCTAAATAATTGAGTGTAAGCTGAATATTTGACTTCTCAAAAAATGTGACTTCTATATATACTTTCTTTTGTGCCACTATCACGTTGCCCTCAGATAAGATTTCATAGCTTTGATAAATGTATTTTAGTAAGGTTGCCACACACATTGTAATTACCTTTGATGTTTTTATTAATTCATCACTTAAAAAAATAGAAATAAAACATTGGTCTTCCTATAGGATTTATAATATTCTGCTATATATGTTTCTAATAATGATAAACTAGTAGAAAGTCAAGCAAATTGACAATACAGAAACAATGTCATTCTCAATAATGACATTAGAAAATATGAGTTTCATTTGGATTTGGCTTTGCAGTTCAATAAATCAAAACATGGCCTTCTATCTTATGAAATAATAAAAATAGTGATAATAATATCTGCTAAAGCGTACTGTTTACTATATAACCCAAGAACTATGCTAAGTGCTTTGTATTAACTATTTCACAAAGCTCTATGAAGTAGGCACTAATATTTGTCCAATTTTAAGAGTTAAGAAAATTGAGCTATGAATAGTTTAGGTAACGTACAAATGATAAAAAGCAGAGCTAGAGCATCCAGCTTTCAATAGTCCCACATGGAGTCCTATTCTTAACAGAAAGAGTTATTGTTAAATTTCTTGCTATTTATGGAATCAACACTTTTGTTTCACTCAATGGTAATTGGATAAAAGGAGCAAAGTTAAATGTCAGGAATTTCACGTTCTAGAACCAACGCTTTGACATTTCAGCCTTGGTCATATCATTTAATCAGACTCAGATTTTTCATTTTAATGATGAGAAGATTCAACTAGATCACCTATAAGCTTTTTATAATTTTAAAAATACTTTATCGTAGAATGGCTTTTCGAAATGAAGATTAGATTTTATGCATTCATATTATATTTACTTGTGAAGAATATTTAATTGGAAAATGACCAAAAGCATTTTGGGTTATCTCTATACACAACTTTTTTTTCTTATGTGATTGAATATAGAAGAGAAAAACCTAAGGTCATAGTTAAGGGAGCATCTCATAGCTAAGTGATGTAGTGGGAGAATTTTGTGATGATATTACAAGGTTACTCTGGTTGAAATTTACCAAGGATCAATATCAAGTCTAACAAGAGCTGCTACTTGATGATAAATGATTGTAGACTCAGGATATTGGTTTTACATTTCTTCCAAAATATGTCAAGGATTCCTGCAAAATATCCTTTGTATGATGCTTGGGATTATATACATATATATATATATATATATACACACACACACACACACACACACCCATATATATTTATGATCTATTAAACCAAAAGAAAGAGCTCTTCCTATTAAGACACCCTATATCACTAGGTATTTTTTGTCACAATATGTTTCTTATGTAAGTGGTAATGTTTTAAATTGTCCAATTTATTGTGATGAAAGATTAAATGAGCTAATATATTGAATGTTTATCATGGGCTAGGCACTGTGTTGGACATAAGGGTCCAGAGATGCAAGATAAAGGTTTCTGCCCTCAAAAAATTAATATTCTAGTTGAGATAATCTTCTAAGAGCAGTATGCCCAGATATTACAGGAAAAAGACAAAAGAAATCAGATCAGCTAAAGAGGCTATAGAAAGTTATTTTAGCTGTGTTATTATTGGAGGGTGAACATCTAAACACCTAGCTTGAAACAAAGGTAGAGTTTTGGTAGAGCAGGTCTAAAATTTGACAGAAGGCAAAAAAATAAAAAAAAATTAAAAAAAGAGCAAAGGCAAGAAAATATGTTTTTAAATTTAAGTTTAAAATCCTAGCTTTTCGATTTTGTTTTGTTTTTAGTGACTTTAATTCAAAGCCTTAAAGCTATGCTAATACTGCCTGTTATGTATTTGAAACCTTGTATTGAAATGTTAATATTTCTATACAGTACAAGCTTGAGAACTCTTCTAAGCTGTCTGAGGAGGTAGGATGGGCCTTCTTCCAGTTTTCTGATTTTTGATCAGTGTTATGAAGGCATGAAACATGGTTTTGAAATCTCCTGCTTCTCATGAAAATCATCCAATTCAAAACAACATGCGTTTTGGCCGTGTTGAAAAACAACTCCCAAGTGCCTAACTTCTGTTTCTCCTGCCATGACTCCAATTCAGGCCCTCAGCCCTTCACAGGGATTAGTGCCGTCTCCCCCTGACATCCACTTTTTCTGAAAAAGTGCTCGATTTCTAAATACGGTGCTTACGTTGTTCCAGATGGGGAGCAGTATTGGTGAATCTGTCAGGCGCCTGACCATTTGTCAGCGCTGCTTCCTTTTATATTTTTGTTCTCATGTATTTCGAGTACACCTATCACTTTCATCAGTGAGATAAGCTTCAATGATATGTGTTTTATTAGATCTCTCTTTATATGATATATGATCCTATTGTCGCAAATAGTTGAAGGATTGTTGAACATTTATCCGAGGAAATGCCTGGGTCATTCCAGTTGACCGGTCACCGCAATTTATTTTCTACGGCCCTCTCTCTGGCTCACATGCACAAAATTACCCAGAGCCGCAAGCATGATCCCAGCGCTGATCTCTTTCAAAATATAGATCATGTTGGTGCTTTCTCTTTTCGATTGATGGCGTGGGTGGGCGGTTGATTTATTTTAACAAAGAGCTGTCTTATGCATTATGGATTTGCCTTTTTTCCTAAATAGGAACATAGTGTCCAATTACATTTGTTTATTCTTCCAAGTTCTTGGAAATGACAGAGATATCAAAGAGAGTACTGATCTCTCTAATTTTCCATAATTTGAGAGTATCCCTCACCCTCTCAAATGATTACTTTATATAGCAAAAATATGGCTGTCTTTTTGCCCAGTGTATTTTCTGTCAGTGGCTTCCTTACAATCTGCTCTTTGTCAGCTTTTCTTTGATGAAATACAGCATTTTTTTACCCAGTATTGTTCTTTCACTTCTCTCTGACTCCCTAAGGATTTTCATTACGTTTTGGCCGTAGCATCTTGTTAAACATAGTGATAAACCCTCTATAGTACCAGTGGATTCTTCATTTAACCCTGTGTTTAGGAATTACAAACAAAAGTGATGACTTTTATTCAATTTCTTAAATAAGAAAGAGATAATTTTTAGACTTTATTTTCCAATTGTATCTCCAGGTATCATAAAAATCACTTCTAGCAGATCTGGACTTTGAGAAGTGCCTCCTTGT